GAAATGAGGTGAAAGATTCTATGAAGGGATTGTATCAAAGGTCAGAGCATTTAGATCTGGGAGGAACTTTAGACTAAAGAACAGGGACAGGAGGCATCTGAGAGTATGGACTGTCAGAGCTGAAGGAGACCTGAGAATGGAGAATGGGAGACCCAAAAGAGGTCACCAATTAAAGAAAAAGAGAGAGAAGGGCACTAAGTACAGAGAACACTGATCTCTAATGAGATTGAAAGGACTTTGTAACAAAAATATTCTAAAGTTGGAATATCAAAGGTGGGTAAGATCTTATAATATAGAATATCAGACATGGAAAGGACCTTAGGGTCCAACTTGTTAAAGCATCCCAAATATCAGGTGTGAAAATGAATTGATCCATGTCACTCAGCCCATTACTGGAAGACCTGGGGCTGGAATCCAAATCTCCCAAATGACATGCCAATGTTCTTCCTGCTACACAATGTTGCCTTTATTTCCCAAATCTGAAGCCTGAAAGAAGAATACAATTTCCAGACAGGAACAGGGAAATTGTCTTTTTCTAATTTTCAAACAGGATTATGCCTACCCTGCTCCCTTTCCCAACACATCTCCAGTCAATCTAGTAATTAAGTGTCTCATATCTATTACCTTGGGGTAAGCAATGAAGGAATGCTACCATTCCAACTCAAAGGATCTGATAATTGTTGACCTAGTAAAACGAATGGTGGACTTTGAACTTCTAAGACTGAGTTAAATTCTCAGAGTTATTGACCATGTAGCCATGGCTAATACACTTTTATAGAGGCAGCTGGTGATGCAGTGGATAGAGCACTGAACCTGGAATCAGGACAACATAAGTTCAAATTTGGTCTTAGATTCTTCCCCCACATAATTTCTCCAGTAATGGGGGACTGTGCCACCATAGTGGAAACAGGGAGCCATTAATTATTTTTGAGGTGGAAAGTGATATGAACAAGTGGGCATTTTAGGAAAAATAATTTGGCTGCTTTTTGGAGAATGGATTGGAGAAGGAAAAGAATAGAGGCAAAGAGACTACTCAGGAAGCTATTACAATAGTTGAGGGGAGAAATGATGAGAATCTGAACCAGGACAGAAGCCGTGTGTGTGAATGGAGAAAGGAAGACAAATTTATGAGGTGTTTATAATAGCAGTTTTTAACCTAAAGATCCATGGATAGTTTTAAAGAGAACTGAAACTGGAATAGGAAAAATCACATCTTTATTTTAACTAACTTATAACTGAAATTTAGCATTTCCTTCAATTATTTGAACTGTTTAAAAACCTTATTCTGATAAGGATCCATAGATTTCACCTTACTGCTGAAAAAAAAAGCCAAGATACAAGAAATGTTAAGAAACCTTATTTTAGAGACAAAATCACTTAATCTCTTAGTGTCAGTTTCCTCATTAGTAAAATGGGGATAACAATACCTATAGTGATACAGGTGTACTAACCATGCAGTTGTTGTGAGGGCCAAATGAAACAAGATATCTGACAGAGAGTTCACAGAACCTCAGGATGCGAAGTATGTTGCTAAGTATTATATTGGAGGCAGCTGTGATGATGATAATGATGATATTATTGAAGGTTCTCAGAGATGTGAAGGGCATTAAAGGTTATAACTGAGCCCCTTTCTAAGGTAGGAACCTCTCCTCCAATGTCCATACAAGTAATTATTCATTCTAAGAAATCCAGGTCCTTCCTTATTGATATGGAAGTCAATATTAGAAGCTCAGAGGGAGAGAATCCCAAAGACAGCATATAGTCTCATCTACCCCTTAAAAGGAATCCTCTCTACAACATACCTGACAATAAGTGCTCTGTCTTTGTTTACTGTCTGCTCAATATTTTTACCAATGGTTTGGATGAAGCTATAGATGACATGCTTATCAATTTTGGGGATGACAAGACATTTCAGAGAATAGCATATATATTGATGACAGAATCAGGCTTCAAAAAACTCTGAAAAGATGAGATCTAAAAAGATAAACCTTACTGAGTCACTTTCACTTTGATACCTCCTCCAGTGATAGGGAGCTCATCAAATCCAAAACTAGACTATGACATTGTACAAATCATATAGCCAACATCTCTCCTTGGTGTCCACTATGATAGCAAGAGACTTTTTGAATGCTTTACTAATACCTAGATGCACTGAGTTTGCAGCTGTGACATGATCTACCTGCCTATGAATATGATCAAAAAATTAAAAGAACTTAGTTTGATCTGAGTTGTTCATAAAGTTATGCTGACTCTAAATGATTACTACTGATCTTCCAGAATGTTCATAAACCATCTCTTCAATCATACCCAAGAATTTGGTGAGGAAGCAAAGTCAAGGTCAAAATCCATTAGTGTTCAAAATCTATCTTCTTCCTTTATTTGACAAGTAGAAGAACATTTTTCTATATCCAGTCCTGTGGCACCTCTCCTATTTTCCATGATTTCTCAAAGATCAGTGCCAGTGGTTCAATAATCATATCCTCTAGGAATTTCAGAACCTGGGGATGTAGTTCATCTAGACCTGATCACTAGGGAATTAACTAAGGGGAGCGAGATGCTCCTTTACCATCCTCTCACTTTTCTTGATTTTTAGCTGCATTTTAATAATGCTTGTTCTAGGCTACAGAACCAACTTCTTGTCTAGATCATGCAATTTGTCAGAGAAAGAAAAAGTCAAATAAGATTTCATTAATCTTTCCTTCTCTCTAGCCTTCATTTTCATCATTCCATCTAACCTGAGCAACCACCCCAGCCCTTCTTTTGATTTCTTCTCCAAAAAAGACCTTGGAAACTCCTTTTCATTATATACAATGTGACTTTCTTTTTTTTTCCCTTCCCCCCACCTCAAATTTTGAGATGGCTACCATTAGACACAAATCTGTATGCGTGTGGGGGTATACACATATATACATACATATACACACATATACATATACTTACACATATATGTGTGCATGCATGTACATATATATATAGATATGTCAGTTCTTTTTCTGGATTCAAATAGCATCTTCCTTTGTAAGATCTTTGCTGTTAATTTGGGTATTTATAATAGAATGGCTTGGTTTCTCAAAGTTATTCTTAAAATGATACTGCTGCTACTGTATGCAGTGTTCTCTTGATTCTATTCATTTCACTTTTCATTATTTCATGGAAGTCTCTCCATACTTTTCTAAAGTCATTGAGCTCATCATTTCTTGTAGCAGGTTAATATTCCATCATGAACACATATCACAATTTGTTTATCCATTACCTGACTGATAGACACCCTGCAATTTCCAGTTCTTTGCCACCACAAAGGGAGTTGCTATAAATATTTTATAACATGTAGATTCTTTTCCATTTTCCCTAATCATCTTGGGAAACAGACCTAATAGTGGTATTGCTGGGTCAAAGGGTATAGGCAGTTTAATGACTCTTTGGGCATAACTCCAAATCTCTCTCCAAAGTGGTTGGATCAGCTCACAGATCCACTAACAATGAATTAAGGTCCCAATTTTTCCACATTCTCTCCATCATTTGTCACTTTCTCTTTCTATCATTTTAGACAATCTGATAGTGTAAAATAACATCTCAAGGTTATTTTAATATGCATTTCTCTAATCAGTAATCATTTAGAGCATTTTTTCATATGACTATAAATTGTTTTGATTTCTTCATTGGAAAGCTTCCTGTTTATATCCTTTGACCATTTATCAATTGGGGAATGATTCGCATTCTTATAGATTTGACAAAGTTCTTTATATATTTGAGATATGAGACCTCTATCCAAGGAACTGTCTATAAAATTTTTTCCCAGTTTTCTGCTGTCCTTCTGATCTTGGCTACATTTGTTTTATTTGTACAAAAAAATTTTAACTTAATGTAATCAAAATTATCTATTTTACATCTTATAACACTCTATATCTCTTGTTTGTTCATGAATCCATAATCCGTGTTCATGAATCCCCTTATCCATAAGTCTGATAAGTAATATGTTCCATGTTCTTCAAGTTTTCTTATAATATCTCCATTTATATCTAGGTGATGTATCCATTTTGACCCTATCTTGGTAAGTGGTGTTAAGATATTTGAACTTTAAGAATTTCATTCCTATAATTGAAGATTTTCCATCTTGGAACTATCACACTTGGAACTGCTCACAGAACCTTTGACAGCCCAGCAGAGCATTTTTTGTGTCCAAGGTAAATTTCATAAAGTGTGCTCTCAAAACAACTTTTTGAAAAAACATGTATATGAATATCTTTTGTCTTTATACCGCAGTCACTTCTGAACTCACCTCTCCAGAACGAATCTTGGCTTTGGATAAGGAAAAATAATTAGTTAATGTCATACACAAACCAAGGCTTCTGGTATATGCACTATTCTCACTAAGGTAATTTTTGTGAAGTGTAAATCTGACCATGACCTCCTTCTGCTCAATGAACTCCAATAGCCTCCTATTATAGCCAGTAACATATGTAAACTCCTTTGTTTGGCATTTAAAGCTCTTCATAACCTTCCCCTTTCCTACTCTTTTTTCTTGCATGATTCATGCAAGAAAATTGGAAACAACCTGTTTGGATCACTTCACTGCCCTACTAACAATGCTTCCTCAGGTCTATTTTCCCACATCCTCTCCAGTACTGACCATGCCTGTTTTTGCTCACCTCTGCCAATTTTCAGGGTGTCAGAGTTCATTTAATTTTCATTTCTCTTCCTTTTATTGATTTGGAGTGTGTTTTCATGTGGTCATTGATGGCTCATAATTCTTCTGAAAACTTTGTTTATATCTGATGATGTATCAATTGGAGAACGGCCCTTGTGTTACATGTATTGCTATCAGTTTCTTGTTCATTTTAGATCACAGACTATGAGAAGTGACAACTCATATTTTCCCACTCTCCCATTTCTCTTCTAATTCTGTTTTTGCCGAATTATTCATCAAAAACCTTCAAATTGGCCTTGAGTGGGTTGTTTTAAATTCTTATTTCATTCTATATTTGCTTCCAAACAGGCACATGGAAGGGAGAAATCAATCCAGAGTCTCAGAGTTCATCCTCCTGGGCCTTTCGGACCAGCCAGAGCAGCAGAGGCTCCTATTCTTCTTGTTCCTCCTTATGTACCTGATCTCAGGGCTGGGGAACTTACTCATCATGCTAGCTATTAGCTCTGACCCCCACCTCCACACCCCTATGTACTTCTTCCTCAGTAACTTGTCCTTGGTTGACCTCTGCTTCACCTCCACCACCGTTCCCAAGATGCTGAATAATTACATATCCCAAAACAGAACGATCTCTTATGCTGGGTGCCTGACACAAGTATTCTTCTTCCTTTGGTTCGCAGGGATGGATAGTGTCCTCCTCACTACCATGGCTTATGACCGGTATGTGGCTATTTGTGCCTCACTCCACTATAGCACAGTCATGACTCCAAAGATCTGTGCCCTTCTAGTAGGGGTGTCTTGGTTTTGGGCCTATAATAATGCCCTGATACACACCGTCTTGCTGACCCGACTCTCATTCTGTGGCCATAATGAAATCCCTCATTTCTTCTGTGACTCAGTCCCCTGCTGAAGTTGGCCTGCTCAGATACCTTCATCAATGACTTGATGATCTACACAGTGGGAGCGTTGACAATAATTCTCCCCTTCATTGGAATAATGATCTCCTATGTTCACATTTTCATGGCTGTACTGAAGATCTCATCTGTGAGTGGAAAGCAGAAAGTTTTCTCCACCTGTGGATCCCACCTCACTGTGGTCTGTCTCTTCTATGGGACAATCATTGGAGTGTACTTCAGCCCCACATCCACCCACACAGCCCAACAAGATACAGCGGCAACTGTGATGTATACTGTGGTCACCCCCATGCTGAACCCTTTCATCTACAGCCTAAGGAACAAGGACATGAAAGGAGCCCTGAAGATGTTCCTCACTAGGAAACCAGGATTCACTCTATGACTATGAGATACCTTCCTGAGCTTTGGTGCCTGTGTCTCAGACAACAACCCCAATGCTGCAGGAGTAGGTTTGCAATAAGTCTTCTCTAGTGTCACATGAAGTCAATCTGTTCCTCTCTTGACCTGCACAAGACAAAACGTGACATGATGAGTAGAGCACTGAACCAGTTGTCAAGATTCCTGGTTCTAGTGTGTTTCTACTGAGGGAATTGTGGGAATTAAGTGAACCATACTGACTCCATCTTATGACTCAAATCTAGATCTAGCTCAGTTTCCTTTCTTTTCAACTATAGGTCTAGTCTAATTTATGTCTTGTGAGAAAATTTTATTCAATTATGGGAATTGCGGGAAAACTTTATTGCACTGTTTAAAATTTAGCCCTTCACAGCTAGGAAGCTGGACCACCACTACCTATTGCTCAAAGAACCTTAACTAAGGACACAGATTATGCCAACCAGAAACCCAGTCAGATCCAAAAATTGATACAAGGAGTTTTCTCACCATTATACATCTCAAGCAACCCATATGTCTTATCTGAAAACTAGCCCTGTACCAGTCAATCGGTTACTGTCTCTATGTTTCTTTGCTTGAATGTAGACACTTAGGGAGAGTAGGACATCTCTTTTTCTGATCTCTGTTTATCCTCCCCCTCCCAATTCAAAAAAGCCCTAATCTTTCCTTCAATTAGAAATCAGATTATCTAATTGTGCATCCTATTCTGCATCTGCTTTTTGTTGTCTTTTAATGAATAAAAATCTATCTTCCTCCTGTATTCCCAACCTGTTGTGCAATTGGCATGAATTGCTTAATAAACCAATATGCCCAGAAGCTCAAACTTTGTTTCCTCAGTCATTTCAGATTCTACCCATCACAGTTTTTAGCAAGCCAAGCTAGGTCAAGTTAGGACTCTGACCCCCTGGACAATAGCTTTTTAGAAAAAAAACCCTAGACTACTCTGGTTAGTCTTTCACTGAAGGAATTTATTTGCTGACGACTGCCCTCCAGAAATCAAATTCTCCTTGATCTCAATCCTCTTCCAAGCTAAAGTAAGATTTAGTCCCACACCGCTGGGAAACATTTACCAACACAATGCAGGGGAAAGTTTACCCTGACTCTGAAGGTTGAGGAAGAATTATCCCTGGAAGGGAGCAATGGGTTCCAGTAATAGTAAAATGCCAAAGGTTTCTGCCTTGGAAAAATTATCATGAGACTAGGGGAACAACATGCTGTTAAATTGACACCTCTTTAGGGAAATTCTTATTGGCCTGAAACTTCCCATACAGGAGTGGAAAGTGTGAATAAAAAATGGAATTCTCAAATTATGTTAAAATACATTTAAAAAACAAATGGATCCTAAAATTGGCTTGAAGAGGGGACTTTTAATTACGGCAAAATGAAAGGCTTTGAGATTAGACTTTCAGTAAGAGAGGAAGAGGCTAGCAAGCAGGTCTTTGTTTTATTGTTTTGTCTGTGTTTTTATTTCTTTGTAAAATGCAGAAAAATCTTTGTCTTGTGTCCTGTTTAATGTTGTGTGTAGATTCTGCTATCTTGAAAGATTTCTAAGGGAAAAATGCAGCCAGCCAAAAAGACTGCTAAAAAACTGCAGCCAAAGAATTAAGTATGCTAGGGAAGATTAATGAAATTTTGTACTTGAAACAGTGGTGCCAAACTATCTGTCCCAGTAAGCAAGACTAACCCCCCACTTTAGGCTTTTCAGTGGGAGATTAGGTTAAAAAGAAAAAAAAACAAACAGCTAAAAACATTTTAGTAGATTTTGAAGGTTTGGAGATTAAGGAGTAGATTAAGGAGTTTGGAGATTAATCATTTTAAGATTGCAAGAGACTTTTGGTAATTGCAGGAACTCATGCCTTCTCTCTGTCCTATCTGATTAGGCACTTAGCAGAAGCCTAAGATATCTTAGTGAGTTTTGGGGTTATCTAATTTTTTCAGTCTACAGAATTTTTTCAAGGAAAAATAAGAATTAAATTCTATAAAGTTTTGTGGGTAAAAAACATTTAGATCCCTTTTCTCCTGAAGACTGATAGAGCCATTTTTTATTTTGTTGGTGGTGGTAATATCTTTCCAATTTTTTTGTATATTTTTTTAATTTATTTTAAACTTAAATAGAAAATGAGAAAAGAAAAAAAAAACATTGCCATGTATACAGCAGAACATAAGAGAGGTTTCAACATAAAACAAGAAATTTCCATTTCAAGAAAGCCTATATGGTAAATACTACATATTGTTTTCACAGCTGCCCAGATTTTCTTTGCTTCCTTGTAGGTTTTCTTTTGTTTTCTGCTGTGCACTTTTTACTTATTTTCTCCCCTCCCTTCTCCCACATCACCCTAAAGAAGGTTACAATTAAGTATGGATATATGTACATATACATAGATATCTATAAACATAGACATATATACTCATACACATATATATAAGACCATACTGTACTTATTTCCATCTATCATCTGTTTCTCTGAAGGTGCATAGCATCTTCCTTCATAAGTCCAAGTCTTTCCATGGTTTGGTTTGGTTTGGTGTTTTTGGCTAGGCAATGAGTTTAAGTGACTTGCCCAGGGTCACACAGCTAGTAAGTGTCAAGTGTCTGGGGTCACATGTGAACTCAGGTCCTCCTGACTCCAGGGTCAGTGCTCTATCCACTGTGCCACTTAGCTGCTCCCGCCATGTTTTTCTAAATCAACCAGCTCATCATTTCTTGCACCACAGCAATATTCCTCCCAATCACATCCTATCTGAGACATTGTCTATGAAAGTGTTTTCCCAATTTTCTGCATTCCTTCTATTCTCGGCTGTACAGGTTTTATCTATACAAGAAATTTTTAATTTAATGTAATCAAAATTTTCCATTTTATACTTTGAACTTTTTTAGCATAATGAACAAGACAGCTAGTTTGAAAGTAACCTCAGAGTAAAGAAAAAATAGGCATACAGTTTGCAATTTGCCTCTTGTTAACCCTTTCTTGACCATGAAAAGAGAAAAGCTTGTTTAAATCAGGGAGCAACATTAAAAATTAGTAAATTAAAATTAAGGAATAGAAAGAATGATTTAAACAGAAAAGAGGTCCATGAGGAAGGAATCCCTACTACACCTCCACTATTGCTTTGGGCCAAACTCTGTTGTGGATAATGGAGACAGATATTTGCATTGGTTGGCTGGGGAGGCTGGCTGGGGGGGAGGGGGTGGTAATATCAGGAACTAGGAATGTCCTTAGGGAAGGCTGAAGTAGAACTTTCAAAATTTTATATAACAGAATTACTTGTGTACGTAAACTAGAAGCAAAGTCATGAAAGAAAATTAGAAAAAAACCATGTGTTTGTAAGCTGGTAGGAATCTAGAAATGTAACAGTATTGCCGTTAATTGGGGTTGTGCAAAATGTTGCGCTAAATTCCAAAGGAAAAATTCTATGGAATAAAGATTAGTTATTCAGATAGTTTAGCATATGATTAGGAAATACAGTACTTTGCCCTGAAAGTCCATTCCAGGGGCATATTGCCCAGTCTTTAGACTCTTATGAGCTCCAAAGCAAGGGTTGGGAATGTGAGGCTTCCACTTGGAATCTCTCCTTATCTCTCACAGGGAGTTAAAACTGAAAAGCCACAGAGAAATTGAGGGCAGGGCTAGGTTATGCACACAAAAGGAATTAGTTTGGCTCTTTGGGTGATGTTTAAAAGAAAATAAATAAAAAGTTTATGGAAAGGTGAAAGTGCTACCAAAAACCTTTGAAAATGAGCTAATTGTTAACTCTAGGTTCTAAATTTTAAAGTTGATGTGGCTAATAGCCCTGGAAAATTTAGATTTTGATTTTGTGGTTGTAAAATCAGATCTGATTGGTTAAGATTTGTCCTGTGACTAAATTATGATGTAACGAAATGTGTTTTCTTATTAATTGTGGCATGAAAAGCAAAAAAAAAAAAATACCGGGAAAAATGTATGAATCAGAGAAACCTGAGTTACACTCCTGCCTCAGGAATTTATTAGCTATGTGATTTTAAGCAAATTATCTTATCTCTGTTTACCTCAGTTTCCTGATCTGTAAAGAGGAAAATAATAACGGTACCCACCTCCCAGGGTTGTTCTGAGGGTCAAATGATATAATGATTGTAAAGTGCACAACACAGTGAGTGCCATATGGTAAGCACTATATAAATGTTAACTATTGTTATAATTATTATTATTTCTAAGCAACTTTAGCAAAGTTGCAGGCTGTAAAAGAAACCCACATAAATCATCAGCATTTCTATATATTACCAACAAAGCCCAACAGCAAGATATAGAAGGAGAAATTCTATTTAAACTTACTGTAGACATTATAAAATATTTAGGAGTTTACCTACCAAAATAAACCCAGGAACTCTATTAACACAATTAAAAAACATTTTTCACGCAAATAAAATCAGATCTAAATAATTGGAAAAACATCAGTTGCTCATGGGTAGGCCGAGCTAATGTAATAAAAATGACAATCCTACCTAAGCTAATTTACTTATTCAGCGCCATACCAATCAAACTACCAAAAAATTATTTTATAGTTAGAAAAAAATAATAACAAGATTCATTTGGAAAAACAAAAGGTCCAGAATATCAAAGGAACTAATGAAAAGAAATGCAGGGGAAGGTGGCCTAGCAATTCCAGATCTTAAATTGTATTATAAAGCAGAAATCATCAAAACTGCTTGGTACTGGCTAAGAAATAGAGTGGTGAATCAGTGGAATAGGTTAAATATGCAAGACACAGTAGTCAATGACTATAGTAATCTATTATTTGATAAACCCAAAGACCACAGCTTCTGGGATAAGAACCCACTCTTTGAAAAAAAACTGCTGGGAAAACTGGAAAAGAGTATGGCAGAAACTAGGCATAGACCCAAATCTCACACCATATACCAAAATAAAGTCAAAATGGGTTCACGATTTAGCTATAAAGGCTGATACTATAAGCAAACTGGGAGAGCAAGGAATAGTTTACCTATCAGATCTA